CACTATTATGATGGGTGTCAGTGCACACTATTATGATTGGTCCTAGTGCACACTATTATGACAGGTCCTAGTGCACACTAATATGACGGGTCCCAGTGCACACTATTATGTTTGGTCCAAGTGCACACTATTATGATGGGCCCAGTGCACAGTATTATGATGGTCCTAGTGCACACTATTATGACGGGTCCTATTGCATGCTAGTTACAAGTTATGAAGCACACACACACTGGTATTGTCTTGTCATATGATTAAATAGAGACTTGACATTGGACAATATCAATATACAAATAAATAAATAATTCCCTTATTACTCCCGCAGTGGGGAAATGTATTCTCTGCATTTAACCCATCCCTAGTATATAGGGAGCAGTGGGCTGCTGAGAAGCACCCAGGGAGCAGTTAGGGGTTCAGTGTCTTGCTCAGGAACACCTCGCCACAGGTCACAGGGTAGCCAAGGAACAAACCGCCAACCTTGCAGTTAGTGGACAACCCTCTCTACCCCATGAGCCACGGTCACCCCGTGGGGCCCGTGATTACCCAGTAATCTTTATTACATATCTGCATATGACAAAAATACTAAATAAAATAAGAAATTATTCATTTAAGTTATTTGTTGTTAAAAAAAGTATTTTTATAGTGCTTAAAGTTTATGTAGAATAAAGATTTATTTTGTTGTCGCTACTGGTTATTTTACCCATCCAAAAAACTGTAAAGCCTGACGGAGATGAGTTTGCATTTTTCAGGGATTATATAGAAAACGTCATAACGATGTATGTGTTAGGAGTTTCTCTTTGAGCGTCCATCAAGGACAATTACATATGTAGGAGCCACTTATTTGATTTGTGTTCATGTATAATATGCCTTTCAAGCACTAGGGGATGTTTTGGTACAAGCCTGGGCTGGCCTCAGCCTATTTAGTTGATGCCAGTAATCGCAGGTGTGGCTGATAAACTGTGCGGCGATATTTGGTAAATTTTGTGATCAAACTTTTTGGAAGTTACGGACAATTCTTGAACACCAGAGGCAAAATAAACACCAAGGTATAAAGTGATGGTAACTTCTTTGCGTCTAGTTTCTTTAATTAAGATAAATCGGCAGCCAGTAGCGGCTAAAATAAAATAATTAAAGTCACCACACCCCTCCACCTCCCTGGGATTATAACCTTGTCAAAAGAAAGGACAAGTGTAAATTCTTCTGCATCCAATCCTTTCCAAAACACTAATTCATCCTGTTTTTTCCCCATTTCCTTGATCCAAAGGTCCACAGAAATGATATGACAGTGGTAGTGTTCTTCATCATGCCAGCTAAAACCAACAACTTCAACGTGGAGTCACTGAAGGGACAGGCAGTACGCAAGCAGCTCTGGTATGCACTCATATGGTTTACATAACAGTCCAATACCAACATAAAGAGATACTGTACTATCCATGCATTGACATCATATATACACACTATTAGGGATGGGTATCGTTTGGGTTTTTTCCGATAGCGGTGCTAAAACGATACCGGTGCCTAAACGGTGCCTGAACCAATACTTTTTTCTTCAAATTGAATATATTAACTGTTTAAAGTATACTATAAATATAAATAAATACAAAACACACACACACTCTGTACACACACTACAGCTTCAAACATCAGCAATTCTTTTGCAGAAATATGAGCATAGTTGGCAAAATACGACACCTCTCCTGACTTATTTTATTTTATTTTATTTACTTTTATTTTACCAGTTGGTGGCGGTAATGCGCCAATTCATCATTTGCCAACCGCCACTACACCTCAAAGAAGAAGCAGCTTTCGCGTGCCTGTGTTGTTGTGCTTATGAGCGGCAGCGCGAAGTACCCGGATGTCGATGGAGGAAGTCAGTAGCCTGCCAGCTGTTTGACAGATCTCGTTCTATTTATTTTTATTTTTTTTAAATAAATCATGGCCGAAACTTCGCCAGAATGATGGAGGGGTTTGTTTCTAAGCGCGCACAGCTCGGCCGGTTGTAATAATACTACGAGTGAGGAGCTGAGGACCGAGGCTGCCAGGACGGAGTCATCAGAGTAGTGTAAAAAAAGTATTTCAATCGGCTCAGGCACCGAAAGGAAGCACCGAAATCTGCGTTGCGTTTCGGTCCGGTAGATACCAGTCGTATGGGAACCGGTGCCATATTAGCACCGGGTTTCGGTACCCAACCCTACACACTATATGTTTCAAAAGCATTTGGCCAACAATCTAACCCTGATCCACTTAAAATTGAGCTCAGGCAGAATGTCAAGCAGAATTTACAAACTTTCTCGGGTACTTTCAGTGACATCGAAGCTATTCTTTGCTTTCACCTATACAGTTACACAAATTCTGAGCAGGAAGCTGCCCAGTACAACCACAATCTGATCAGCTGGTCTCAGAGCATCTCCACTGGGAGACTGTCCTCACCTGAAAAACAATAGATCAACCTCTTGTGGTCATGCAAATACTGACTGTTGTCTACGAAGCAAATGCTAACGTCGTTTGATGTTCGCAACACAGAAAAACCTCTCGGAGGTTGAGGTTAAAGGAGAGCTTTTGACCTTCTACTACTGAAAGTTAACAACCATGTCCATGATCTTTGTCTAACCTGAACCAAACAGTCTTTGTGTCTAAACCTCACTTAACCTTAACCATAGCAGTGGCACATCAGGAAACGCTTATAAAAAGGACTTCTGGATCGGGGATGCCAAGACACTTTTTCAAACCTCTAGACCTAAAAATAGGACCTCAACATTTAGGATGGTCTCTCAAAATCTCTGCCACTAATGTCATCCTAATAGAAAGCTAATAATGGCTGCTCCAGTTTTCGGGTTTGACATCATTGTTGGCACATGCATTTTGATTTTGTTTAACAGTGCTGGTGAGTTTGGGTTAAATGGTAAATGAAAAGGATTCTATTTGACTTCCACAGGGATACAGCTCACACTGTGAAGGAGAAGTTTGGTAATAGGCTGTATGATGCGCTGTTAAAGTAAGTAAATGGAGGCTGTAAGTGAACCCACAGATCTATTGATTTTACACTGTGTACATCAACACTGGTTCTCTGTGATGAATGATGATTACGCATGTGCTATGTTTGTGTTCATTGTTTGCTCTTTCCTCAGAGGGACGATCCCTGACATGGACTCCATTCTGGATCGAGACGACTTCACCATTATGAAGAGAGCCATCTTTGCCACTCAGGTACCTGAGCTTTTCACTTCTCAGTTTCTGTTCAAACAAATATGAGCATCGGATTGAGTTATTTATTTTTTTTCATCTGATTTCCTTTTTATGTTCCGTCTTCTGTCATTCAGGTTTCGTCATGTTGCAAAAATAAAAGAAGGATATCAGACATAGTGCCCGGGCAGAAGGCCAGTCCAGCACTGCTTTCTTGGCTGATAGCTTGGATTTTTCATCATACATGAATAAAAATAAAAAAAATAAAAAAATAAAAATAAAAATAAAAACGAACGGGACATTATCAAAAACCTAACTACATTTACATTACATCTAAATGATTTTTTGAGGTAGAAAAAACTATTCTAACCAAATGGAATCATTTGTTTTCCATCCTAAAACAATGTTGATCTCAGACCATTTTTTACACATGCAAGATGAAATAATTAGAGTCTTTGGCAATTGGACACTAGTGGTGATGAAGGGAGTTGCTTAAGATCCAAGGATGGGATGAGGCGCAGGACTGGGCACTGGATATGATGAAGACTGGAGGTGAATGGGCTGAAAGAAGGTCACAATGTTTTTTACTGAAATGACAACCGATAGCAGCAGAAAGGAGAACAGTTTTAAAATTTGAAAGCAACTGTGTGATTGGCTGAGGGAGATCATTTCAGCATCTTATTTTGGGGGTTTGAGAAACAGGAGCGTTGTTCTTGGACATTTCATGGCAATCCTATATATTATACATCAGCCATGTAGTTGTGATTTAAGGGATGCAGGTCTGCATAGTTTACATTTACAGACTTTCACTCCGCTTGGTTTATTTAATTAAAAAAAACATTTTACACAGCTGAACCGTAAACTACAATTTTAACATCTACCTATAAAGCAAGGACCCTCGTTTTATATGTGTGTGTGTGTGTGTGTGTGTGTGTGTGCGTGTGTCCTTCTCACATCTCGAGAACCGTTCATCCGATCTACTTGGCTGGTGTATTGCTGGGGCCCGAAACATATTGATAACCTTGAATAAACAAGTGACCAGTGCTCTGTGCAGAAGCGGGATGAGGTCTGAGTCCAGCATGTCGTCCTCAGCGGGAATTTACGGGCCACTGCTCAGTGACTGCAGTTCATTTTTGCTGCTGGATAAACAATCAAACTCTTCTCCACTTCCCTGGAGTCAATGAGCGATGAGCGGTTCTCACTTCCTGAGGCCGAGCACTCTGCTCCGAACCAAGTAGGTCTACCTGCTGGTGAACAGTACTACAAGAACCGCAAACTACCTGGTTAGGTTTAGGAAAAGATCATAATTTGCATTAAAATAAGTACGTTAAGTTATCAGAGTTGTGTCATGAAGTGGGCGTGTCTTGTGGTAAAGTGGGTGTCTTGTGCAGACTGCAGATAGACCCTTCTCTTCTGAACAAGCAGCAATTCATAGTTTTCAGTCACGTGACTGTGACCTGGAGGTTTATTTCAACCAAACCAGATTTGGGGGGATTGTTGGAACGAGACAGTTTTGATGAATTTTATTTTGTTTCTGTCGAGTTTGGGTGAAGTGTTTTTTACGATGATCAGCCAAGTGAAATGATTGTTTTTGTCAATGGAGTCTTGTGGGTTTGAGGAAAGCATATTCATTTTGTTTTGTAAGTCAATACATTTTTTGATGATTTTATAATAGGAACACATTTTCCATTTCTGACAAGCAAGTATGGCTAACTGGCAAGTAAAACACTTGCCAGCAAGTGGCTGATGAAGCTTATTTTTCACTTGCACGGAGCATTCCACTTGCATATAACAGAGTTTACTCCCTGAAAAAAATGTATTTCATTTTTCAAAGCATCACTATTACAAAACATTGAACCATGACCAGCTCCAAACCCACTAAACCAGCCTAAACATGAGAGTCCAAGGAGCAGAGCCGGATAGTTGTCACATGCTTTCTCTCTGAATATGGTGAATTGTATGCTGCTTGAACACAAATTTCACATTTTTGCAAGTTCAGAAAACAAACTACTCCCTGGGTAATGACAGCGATTCCCGATTGAAATTACTGATTTTGCTTTGTTTCGTGATGTGAGACAGTAATCGGATATTGTTAGGTTTAGATAATGCCTGCACTGATCAATAGCTCTCAGAATCCCCCCTGAAAGGTTACGAGTCATGGACCACTGACTCAAATGCTCATTGGGTCATTTCTCCTCACTCCACTGCTTCAGGCATGTGTGTTTGTATCTGTGTGACTTATATTATATGAATGCAGCCAAACATTTACATTTAGGAACAAGAATTCAGCTAATATGCCACAGAGTCATGAAACCAGACTGAATATACACATTTACAGTTGTGTGAAAAAGTGTTTGCCCCTTCCTGATTTCTTAATTTTTTGCATGTTTGTCACACTTAAATGTTTCAGATCATCAAACAAA